AGGCATTAGATATTGAAAACATGGGGGGAAAGCCCCTGAAGTGTATTTCAGTTATTGGTGTAATGAAGATTTGATGAGAGTTGTATGGGGACCAGCTAATCATTTCACATGTATCCTATATTATTATATTATGATCTATCTATCTATCCATCTATCCATCCATCCATCCATCCATCTATATGTACAGCTACTGTTGTATTTGATGTTGATTTGATTTCATAATTTACAACCATAATGGTTCAGACTGGGAAATTTTTATTGATTCAGTTGAGGTATTTATCATAAATGGACAGAATGCTGTGTTTTATGTTTATAAAAAAATATGACATTAAAAAGGAAAAGAAGTCTTAAAAAATCTATTACACAGAGCAAATATAAATAAATAAGGTTAATTTCTCATACTGGTGTGAGCATATATTTAATTGGAAACGCATTTACACATTTACCGTTTAAAAGTGTTTTTTTTAAACAATTAACACTTTTTATTAAGAAAATTATACTTCATTTAGCAGGGGCAGTAAAAACCTTTATAATGTTACAAATGGTTTATATTTAAAACAAATGCTGTTCTTTTGAACTTTCTATTCATCAAAAAATACTTAAATAAAATGACGGTTTTCATAAAAATATTAAGCAGCGTAACTGTTTTCAACATTGCTAATAATAAGAAATTATTTTTCATCAGCAAATCAGCATATTAGAATGATTTCTGAAGGATATAACACTGAAGACTGGAGTAATGGCTGCTGAAAATTAATCTTTGCATCACAAGAATACATAAAAAAAAATAAAAAAATTTAAATAGAAAGATCTTACCCCCTCAAACATTTGAAAGGAAGTGTAGATTTACAGTATAATGCAGACCGATCTGCTGTATCGGCCAAAATGTCTATATGAGTGAATTGCTGATGTTTACATATACTGGATGTGTGTTTACCTCTGCTGGTGTCCAAGGTCCTGCAGGAGTGTGTCCACATGTTTCTGTAACGCTCCAGTCTCCACCAGTGCTAGTTTCTTCAACTCACTGCGTACGAAATACCACAGTTCCCTCACGCCGTTCTCCACCTTCCTCCTTAGCTCCTCCTGGTCCTTTCCTGGGCCTGTGTATGATTCTCTGATGTATGATCGTGGTTGTCATCCTTTATCCTGTCTAGCCCCGAGCTAACCCCAGAACAACGCCCTCTTGTGAAGACTCTCATACACACACACACACACACACACACACACTTTTCATCCATATTAAAAGGTTCCTATTAATTTGACACGTTTCATCTTTCCTTCCCTTAGCACTAACAGCAAGCCATTACAGCACATCTGAAAAAGAGCCGTCAGTCCTCACACACTACCACACACTCACACACGTGTATGTGTGTGTGTGTGTGTGTGTGTGTATGCATTTACTTAACTATATACTTAAGTATGCGCAGAAGTTAACTAAATCTGACAAAATCTCCCTTTGGAGGTGTTTAGAGACATCCTTAAAAGGTACAAAAACTAAAAATTCTAGTTTCTTTTAGAGTTACAGTTTGGTTTGGATTAGTTAATTTGCTTTATATATTAAGAAATTAAATTCAATTAAAATGTACTTTCAGATACTTAAAAATTACACATTTATGAAGACTGTTCTGATACTTTTAAGATTTTTTTGTGGTTTGGCCAGTATTTTACCTCTTGACAGGCAAGTAAAAATAAATAATAAAAATAAATCAGAATTTGCTTTATATATTCTGAAATTAATTTTAATAAGTTAAACATGGAAAAGGTTTTTCTTTTAGAGTTATACTTAAGACAATTATACTTTTATGAACATATATTTGAATTTTTCAACAATCAAAAATAAAAATAATTATAAAAAGCTTCATATATTAAGAATTTTTTTTCACTTCAAAAAATCTGACTCTAAAAATACAATTTATGACTTTTTCAGTATAGCCCAAGCCCGGATTGGCTAATCAGGAGCACCGGGAGGATTCCCGGTGGGCCGGTCTATTTTTTGGCCGCGAGGGCCGGTGTTGTCATGCCACTGGGTTGAACTATGCTGTTCCTAGGCTGCCTGCACTCATAGCAGCCCCACTCTTTTTATTTATTTTCTCGCAGGCCATATTATTATTTTCACCAGATCATATCAGTAACAAATTCTTAATCGATAACTAACATAGACTGTAATAACTAATCATTATTTATGCGCAAATCATTGTTTTATTTGTGAACATAGGCATTTGAGGAAGACCAAGCTGGTCTTTAAGACCAAGCTGAATTCTCTGCCGGCTGCTCCCGCTTCACAGCAAGCGGGACTCGCGCTAACTGCACCCTTCACCGTCCGCTTTTTTATTTCACAAAATCAGTTTGGGCAAATGCAAACAACTTATTGATCATGAGCCCAACATCCAGCACGGCATGAAAACATTTAATCTACCTGAGGGAAGACATCTTTCATTGTAAGTTAATGCTGTTAAATAGAGAGGGAAAAAAATGCATTACAAAATAAATAAATAAATAAATACATCTTGCGTAGGCTATTCTTAAACGTGGACCTCATTATTAAAGTAAAAATCCAAGCACCAGATGCGGCCCACACTCTCTTAAGTTTTCTTTAATTGAAAAATATGCATTTTCATTCATTCAAAGGCTATAGTTGCAATAATATTTTAGATCAAAACTTTAAGTGCCATTGTTTAAAAATAAAAAATGCTTGATTGACTGACGTTTCATAGACCTTCAGTTGTTACATTTTCAAATTTCATGCCATTTGTAATTTTACAGTATTTTCACCTCCTCAATTACACGTGTGAAGTCACAATTCTATAATGGTACAATTTACTCAGGCCGATGACATTTTTTGTATGACATTTAAAATTCTTTTTAGAATAATTGTACATACAGTGGGGCAAAAAAGTATTTAGTCAGCCACCAATTGTGCAAGTTCTCCCACTTAAAAAGATGAGAGAGGCCTGTAATTTTCAGGCCAAAATACCAGCAACCGTGTGTGAAAACCTTGTGAAGACTTACAGAAAACGTTTGACCTCTGTCATTGCCACCAAAGGGTATATAACAAAGTATTGAGATGAAATTTTGTTATTGACCAAATACTTATTTTCCACCATAATTTGCAAATAAATTCTTTAAAAATCCTACAATGTGATTTTCTGGATTTTTTTTCTAATTTTGTCGCTCATAGTTGAGGTATACCTATGATGAAAATTACAGGCCTCTCTCATCTTTTTAAGTGGGAGAACTTGCACAATTGGTGGCTGACTAAATACTTTTTTTCCCCACTGTAAATAGGTTAAGCAAAACAATTGTGATTATTTCTGAGAACTTTTAAACTGCAGGCAGACTTAGGCCTACATTATGGTACAGTACAAATATTTGGAACGTCCCTTATACTGTCCCTTATTTTCTTAAAGAATAAACACTTATTTTCTACAAGAATAAACACTATTTTCTTAAAGAAGAATCACAATTGTCCCTTATTTTCCATTTCTTATGTTAATTGGCAATGATCACGTAATTATCTTTTGACTCCCCTGACAGCGGAACCTTGCTAAAAAAAAGAAGAAGTAATTATTGGAGATATGCGAACAAAAAATAATAGATAAAAAATGCATAATAGAAAGCGGAAAAGCGGCACTGAAAAGGCCAGTAAAAAAACAACAACAACAAAAAACAAAGTGGGCCGGTCTAAGGCATGAAACTCCAGGACTGAAAATGAGTCCCACTCCGGCCCTGGTTTAGCCACTAAAAATGCTGGCAGGCAATTGTACATTTTAATATTCTATGTTAGCTTTACATCAAAAACTATAGAATTGTATAGTTCATTTAGATAAACATGTATATTTACACACCATCAGCAGGGAGGCTGCGGTAAGAGTTGATTTTCTCCTTAGCTCTTATCAGTTGCTCTTCAAGGTTGCGTAGTTTACCCACGGCTCCGGGACCACCATCGGCCTGTCCGTCAGGTAACCTGGAAGACAGAGAGAGAGAGAGAGAGAGAGAGAGAGAGAGAGAGAGACAGAGAGAGAGAGAGAGAGAGAGAGAGACATGTTAGCATTACCATTGTCTGGGGAATCGATGTGTTCATATGCTGTGCATTTATGCTTGTGAACATTCAAGCTCATGTGAGTGAGAGTGAACGTGTGGTCAAGGTGAATTGTGGTTGGCTAATTTCCCAGGGGTCTTTGCTCCTTGCTTCCAGTGCCAATTTAATGCAATGATCAGTTGCGGCACCTACTGCGGGCAATTCATTTGGTGGCAGGGGCTATTCATCACACACAGACACACAAACAACTGACCGAAGCCTGCCCAGCGTGGGCTCCTGACATCCAACACACACAAATTTTCATCTTATAAACTTCATTACCGACGAACATCCCAAGACCTGAACCTCCATCATTTCCTGACACTCCTTCAGAGAAATCTAGTTAATTTATGAGATGACTTCCTTTGTTAGACAACAGATCCTGCATACTCTCTCTCTCTCTCTCTCTCTCTCTCACACTCACACACACACACACACACACACACACACACACACACAAAATAATAGTTTAGCTATCTAAATACGACTTCTATTGCTTTTATATAATGGTAATTATAATTTCAATACACCAGGGTTCTCAGACACGCATTACCTGAGGGCCACCAAGTGTTATTCTTCATTAGGTGCCAGCTGAACTGGTACAACAAATACAAGTGGTTTTACAACTATGAATTTTAAGTATGCAGTTATTGCTGCATTTATACAGGTATTAGTGCATAGGATTGTTGTGTGACTCATCTCTCCCTCATACCTGCATACTGCACTGCTTGTTTAGTGGATTAATGATGCCTTGGATTGCATTCCTAGAGAACTGCAATATTCTCCTAGCAGATCAGGCAGGCAGTGGTCACATTAAGAGACCATAAACCTCACAAGCTGCGATGTGACTCTCAAAAGTAATTGAAATACACATAATATTTAGAAATGTTTAAGAACTACAATTTACAGAAATATTAAGATGTATTTTTTTAACAAAACATAATATTGGTCTCTCTCTCGCTCTTTCACACACACACACACACACACACACACACACACACGTGTATATATGTATGTATGTATACACAAACACACTGGGGGATGGGGGGTGGGACAGCATCGCAGAGCTCAGTTCTCCCCTTTTTCTCATGCACAGCTGTGTCCTTGCAGTGGGTTTGTAGTGGAAATCTGAGCTGTATTTGAAATGTGTTTGACGTGAATAGAAAGCATTGTGGAAAAACTGCCTCACCTGAAAAAGAGACAGTGATAGAGAGACGGAGAGGGAGAAAAATGATGATAGGGCAGCTGAAGTCTTATCTGAGGAGAGAGGGATGAAAATGCATTTGTAGGAAGGCGTGCGTAGGGTTTTGAAATGGTAAACAATGCATTCCCATTTCACCTGGATGCAAATGGTCATATGGATGTCTGTCAACAGAAGGAGCAGAGTGAAAGACAGACAAAAAGAAAAAAAGAAAGATGGGCAAGAATGAGGAGGGATGCTGGAATTGGAGAGAAATTGCAATGTCAAACATTTATGTCATTCTTGGCTGGTCAAGGACGAAATGAGAAGAGAGTGAGAAAGGAAATGAGCGAGATGGGGTTTGTGTGTGTGACAGAAAGAGAGAGTCTGTGGGCAAAGAAGTGTTGTGTGTGTGAGAAATACAAAGGCCTTGAGTTTAGTTCATGTTTATGCGGTTTGTCAGGAAAACACTGAGACATACTGCGTTAAAGACAACTTTGTTAAATGAACCCAAATTACTTTCTTATTTAGGCCAGAAACATGCTCTACTCAAGTACACAAACGCAGACGTTACTGTGGAGCTGACAAACCTCATTTCTGAAAGAGGGGAGATACAGTTACCTTCAAATGTCTGAGCTATTAGAGCAGATACAAAAACTGCAAAAAATTGTTAATCAGTATTTTTGTTTTGCTTTAAAAAAAAATTAAACGCCCTTAAACAAGACAAATTTAGCTTATGTCAACTGGCAGTTTTTTTTAGATTTATGCTTAAAGCAAGCAAAAAAAATAAATAAAAAAATAAAGAGAAACAAACTTTAAAAAATAAATTGCTTCCCATGGATATAGACTTTATTATGCAAATGTTTAGATATTCTAACTGAAAACAGCACAAATACTCATTAAGATATTTGTATTAAATTTCTGGGTTGCATTCCACTTCAAAGTATTTATACCCTTCTCACGCTAACTTCCCTCCATCTCATAGACTTGGATGTGCATCACTGCTTATATAGCGTGAGTGTCCACTATAGCGGAACCCGCTATACTACACGGATTCCCCCGGGAGGAAGTGATTAGGGAAGTTTGCAGAATGTACGTCTAAAGCGAAATGGACCATAGCTCTGATTTGCCATGACCAAAAGGAGAAAACTGGCCATAGAGGAAGACAATTTATTCTAATGCTCACTGTAACAACTCTTGTGGCAACGCTGTGAATTGCAACATGCACTTGCATTGCATTATAAAACATTTTGTTTTAACATTTTCTGATGAATAGAAAGTTCAGAACAGCCTTTATTAGAAGGCTTTTCTAACATTGTGTGTCTTTTTGATCAATTAAAAGCATTCTTGCTGAATAAAAGTATTAATTTCTCTGTTCTTTCTGTGCATAACCTTGACCCCCTCTCTAAAACAATGTTTCTGTTGATGTAATCAGTTCCCGGTCTACTTTTTACTATTAAAACAAATCCTGATGATAAGACTTTATCACACTCTAAATTATTTGTCACTAAATATGCAATTTGACTCATAAATAGGTTACATTTATTACAGTTGTGGGTGCAATTTCATGTTGTCTTTTAGACTACCACAGCAAAACACAGTCCTGACATGCACTTTAAAAACACAAAACTCCCAAACTGTCCACAAACTGAGAAACAGTAAATGGTCTCCTCTCGAAGCCAGTAACAATAGAAGCTACACTTTTCACTTCAACTCCCTTCTCTGTCTTTGTCTTTTTGTTCTCCTCACACATCACCTGTCCTCAGAAACCTGAGCTTCATCATGTGGCATTACATAACCAGCAATCACCAGCTAATGAGGCCACATCACTCACAGCAGGGGCAGAGAGAAACATTTAGAAACACACCAGGGTTTGGGAACGGCTGTCAGAGAGGTGTGATGGAAATCCCACGAGGCCTCGTGTTTTCTGCTGACGGTGAACTCTTGCGAGATGTTGTAGCAGCCCACAGAGACACTTGTACTGAAGTAGGACACACACACTTACACAAAAACGCAGACAGGATGAAAATAAGTGTGAAAACCGAAAGCGGATGATGCAGAAAACTGTCACACTTGGGCGAAAGCACCAGCAGCTTGCTGTGGGCTATGGTTTTGACCTTCTATGAGAACATTTCAGAGTGACAAGAGCTGCTAGTGAGCTAGCAAGCACTCAGACAGACAGTCAACCTCTTCCGTCATTATTGACGAATTGGACACCGTTTTGTGTGATACTTGGTGTGTAGGTGTGTGTGCGACACAAATATAGATGTGCTGAACACGAACTGGATGATGCCACTACATGACTGCTGTTACACTGTGACTGAATGACTGTCAAGTGAAATGAGGTGGTGTGATGTTGCGGCGAAAGCTCAGGGTTTGTATCCGGAAGGTTGCTGGTTTAAACCCTGCAAGCAGTGAGCCGAGAGCCATCGTCATTGTGCTGCTGAGCAAAGCACTTAACCCTAGATGACTCCAGAGGGATTGTCCCTGTAATAAGTTCATGGTGGTGTTCCACGGCACCATTGTGTTAAAGTTACTGAAACCCATTTGTGTGGTTCTACTTGTGTGGGGAAATATAAATAAAGATAGATAGATAAACATAGAAAACTTCAGTTGGTTGGCCTACTCTCAAATGTCATTGTGAACATTACTAAAGACCTAAATGCGAGACATGACGTTTGGCCAGATTTTTGCCCCAATTTGTAGTCTGGATGAGTTGACGTTAGTTACCAAAAGTCAAAGCTAGTCTGTAAATTCTGGGCAGTTGAAGTTGACATATTACACAGAAAATCGAACAGTGTATGATGAGCACAGACTCTGATTTTTTAGCTTTAGATTTTGATTCCATCCATTAAGAGGATATCAAACATGTTTGTCATTTTGAGGCGATTTTAAAACACATAGAGTTTTCATTTGTCACGTGTCTACAAGCAAAGTTTGTTGTGTTTTGAAGAAATTGAAAGACTAGTAGTGTGTGATCCTCAGTTGGAATGTATGGTGCCAAGTTTTTCTCCGTAACCATTGATTCCTAGTATTTTACTGTATATCTGTTTCAGATTGCTTCAGAAGTTGTTTATTGTATTCCAGCCGAAAGTGTAACCTTTATTCTTAGCATTCATGCAGGGGTTGATAATGACATTCTGGCACTTTTAACCCCCCCCGACATATTTGAATTCACCACATTCATATTTGAATTCCCTGTCACAAACGTTTGACTTGATGCTTAAAAGGATAGCTCAACCAAAAAATTCTGTCATCATTAATGTCATACATCAACATACAAAACTCTATACAATGAAAGTCAATGGGATAAAAAAATAACTTTGGACCCTACTGATTTTCATTGTATGGACATGAAAAAGAAACAAACAAACATTGCAAGAAATATCTTGTTTTGTGTTCTATACAAGAAGTCATACAGGTTGGGAATGCCATGAGCAATTAAGTAAAATTAAATTTCATTTTTCAATGAAAAAAATCATGACTTTTTGCCATGTCAAACTTATCAAACGTTTGTCAAACGTATTTAACACAATCCTTAGAATAAAAAAAATTAAATAATTGGAATAACTTTGAATCATTTAAAACGTAATATATTATGAGAGTGAGGGAACATAATTTATTAAATCAATGGCAGTAGAATTTATAGTTACTAAATGTGTTTAACATTATTTTCATAACAAATAATACATTTCGTATAAAACAAATAAATGATTTTGCATAGTCTTACTACAAAATAGTTTAGTTAAACTATGGATACTAGGCAAGAACTGTGTTAAATTTTCATAAGGGCAAGTATAAAGTGGAATGTAGAGCTTTAAAGGCTGGACCGTCATGAATTATGGAGGAAGCTGTCAGTTTTCCTTGTGTAAAATCTCTTCTGTTCTAATGATCTTTGATTGCAAGAAAAAAAATCACTGCCTTTGTTTGCCTTTAGAAATCTCAACAGGTGACTGTACATCAATAATTAAAGGCCTGATGAAAGGAAAACAATATCTGTTAAGGAGTCCCAGAATATGGGACTGCCAGCTGCTGTCATGTGTCAAATGTTGCTGCCAGAATATTTGAACTCAGCCCTATATAAATTAGGTGTTAATTAGTGTCTAATTAATTAACATTGTTACTATACTGTAAGTAAATTTGAAATCAATGCTATACAGTCAAATGTATTTCAATGGAATAAAAAAGGCAATATTATTGGTAATTGTACTTGGTAAAATACAATAATAATATCACTATAATTTAGGTACAATGTCCTGCTAAATGTGTGTGTGTGTGTGTGTGTGTTTGTGATGTCATGACTGCCTGTTTTTGCAAATGATGCAAATGATGTGGTTCTTAAAACAGCACATTTGTTATACAAATGTGAGCAGGACCTGAAATAAGTGTGTTTTTACTTTTACAAATGACTAGTAGTGGTGTAGAATAGTTTGTTTTGGACATTTGTCAAACCTATATCAGAGCTAATTACAGTCTGATGTTTTTTATTACTGTTGCACCAAAGAGAGAGGTCAAATAATAGGCCAAGTCTAAACCCAAGAGTAATTAGTCACATTTAGAGGTGACTAATTGACTGTCACTGAATCAAGAGTATACAGTCTCTATGGCAATACATTGCGAGGCAAGGGTCTCACGCTATGACTGGCTCTTAGATCACGTGTGCGTGGCCTATAGGCAGCATTTATTGACTGGACAGCCAAGTATTAAAATCAAAGCAAAATCTGTAATCTCTTAATCGTTTTTCCTAGACAGCAATGAGATGAAATGGAGAGCAAATTAAGCAAAGATCCCACAAATTCTGCAAACAAAAGTTGGAGATATGATTAATATGAAATATATCAAAATCTACTACTTATCTGTGATATGCCATCCATATTAATTTTAAGATGTTTGTAGTAAAACTTTATAATTTGATATTATTTGTTTCAACCAAACTGATTGCTGATTGCACAGGAATTTAAGTCCCGTGTTTTAGTGTTTCTGATAGTGGTATAAGCTCTTTATTTACTCATACTCGTTTAATATTCATGTGCATAAGCTAGACCAGCCTGAAAAATGTGTTTTGAAAAGTGTGATTTGAGCAAAAAAAAAAAAGCTAATATGTACTTTATTTGATGAGAAACAAATTTAGCAAACAATGAAAAAGTATGTTCAATATAGAACAATTATGTGTAGCATGAATGAAATCTGGACGTACTACATCTGCCATTCATGATTCATTTCCTGTGGCCTCATGGGATGGCGATGTGTCCACTGGATGCACACAGGCCCGGTTCTACAGGGTGCTAAGCACCCTCAAACGAAGTCAAAAGCACCTTCAGTTAAAGCTGTATTAATGGCATTTTATTGCAGATTTGGCAAACTATCGATTTCTGTTTCAACGTTTTTGCAGCGTTGAGCAATGTAGCTAATCACAGACATATCTGTTGATTTCTTGAATCAGAGGCGTTTAAGTTAGAATCCACTCACCGCTCAAATTGCAGGAGGTTTTTTTCAGGTATTGTGTTCAGCAGGAATCATCTCATTATAACAAAGTGTTGATGCAATGTAAATAAGAGATTTGTTGTGCAGCGTAGAGAACTTTAATGGTAATAATGTATCTTTGTGAGATGAACTAAGATGAGTGACAGCTTTTTTAACATTAGTGATTATGAACGGAGCACTCTTTGCACCATAGCAATGGACGCCACTAATATATATACAGATTTTGTTCAGTGTATATAGAGAGCACCCTCACTAATTTAAGAAGCACCCTCAGTGATTTGATTCTGGAGCCGGGCCTGGATGCACACTTCAGAACTGTAGGTCATCTTTCTACTTTTTACCTACTGTTTTATGAGTACTACAAATTCTGACATGCTACTCAGTTCACATACTTTTTTCGCCTACTATATGGTACAAAAGTCAGCATATTCAGACACTGGGCGTTTTTTCTACCTAAATGAATCAGTGTTATTGAATGAATCAATGATTCGATTCCTCTTTCATAAAGAGAGTCACTTGTCGCCATCTACTGTAACAATGTAACCTGCAGAAAGAGTCACAAAAAAAAAAAAAAGCTCTCTGGAACATATGTTAAGCGTCTTGCTATAACCCCTTTTATATAATACTGACCATATTCCTTTAAATACATGTTTAAATCAGTCTGTCTGTGATGTCGGTAAAGGCTAGCTACTAGGGACTTTTCACTGGTTTTCATTGCCCATACAGCAGTTGTTTTCAATCATGTATAATTGTCTGGAGCATGAAACGATCAGTAGCTGAGAAATACTTCACTGAAACTGACTGCAAATAGAAAAAAAGAGCATTGCTTCAAAGCCTTTAAATAGCCTCTTTTTGAAAACGCTTTTGAAAATCATACTATAATCAAGTCTGTGTTTATGTTCTGCCAAAAAGCATAAAACAAATTCGTTGTTCCTAGGCTTGTTTATATCCATGCAGGAAGTAGGACATGCTGTTTCCTCTTTTTGTTTATGGGAGGCTGATTTTCATACAATCTTTAGAGGAAGAGTCTAAGTTTATGCTGCTGATGTGTCCAAACCCTTTCAGTGTGACATGCACCAAGGTTTTGGTTATTTTGTAGCATTTGTAACTAGTTCTGAAAGTCTGATTTGATAATGCCATTATAGGTCTCTAAAAGCAGCATCTGACAATGGCATTAAAGGTAAAAGCAAGTTAATATTTAATGACTTGCGTGCAAAAATTATTCAGCTTTTTATTATTATTTGACAAAGTATTATTCACTTAAAATACAACACTTACATTCAAAGGGGAAAATGACTTTAACGGTTTATTTTTAAAAAATACGACGAAAAAAATAAACTATACATGGCCAAAAGTTTGGAATAATTACACATTTTTTATGTTTTTGTAAAAAATCGCTTATGCTCATCAAGGCTGTATTTATTTGATCAAAAATACAGTAACATTGTGAGGAAGTGTGTATGTGTGCTGTCAAATATCAGATGATTATGAGGCACATTTGTAGAATAAGTCACTGGGGTCATTTTAATAATTTACAATAACACAGATAACTGAGCTTGCATAAGGCATAAGCAGATAGATGACAAGACCACAGCTTAATGAATTACATGGTGCACACAAGTTTGCATACTGCAAACACACACACACACACACACACACACACACATTTAGATGAAAACAGCAGGCAGGCGAAGTATAAATATATACAGTATAAGGAAGTGTGTTTGCATCTGTCGATTATACAAGATTTCCCTGAGGGTAATGGTTATTTAACTAGCAAAGCAGCTCAAATTTAACCCAGTGGCCTTCAAATGTCACAGTGCGTGACAGCAAGTGACTAGTGCAAGCCTGACCAAGGCCAGCTACTGGCTGACGAGGAAAAATTGTAACCCAGCAAGTGTAAACAGACCAATAGAAATAAACAGTGGACACTGCTAACAGCGAACGTTTGTCTAAATGTCTTTAAATTTATTGTTGTATATGGTGAATTTGCTACAAATTGGTGATTTATTGTCAGTATGCAACTACTCTGGGAGGATTTGAAAATGCTGAAAGTACTGGTAAGCTGTCAGCAAGTGAAGGCATAGCACCTCATCCTATTTAAAGCATCACAAATCTGCTTGATTGTTTATATCATTGCAGAATGTAAATTATATTATCATCCAGCTCTAATCTGCTAAATGTAAAAGCAGTAAGATATTAGGATATTATTATTAACATTAACATAATAATTCATAATCTTGCCCCTTTCTAGATTAAATTGTAGTGATAAAAAAAGGAAGAACAGAGTTTACAAAAATGGCTTAATGGTCAGCGCTGTTATTGTTGAACTAAAAACTATTAAAAGTCGTTTTCATTAATTGAAATAAAGCTGAAATGAAATGAAAATATTAGACGAAAAACATAACTGAAATTAGAAACATTGATTTGGCAACTAACTACATACGTTTAGGTTAAAGTAATACAATTATTAAAACTAAAATGTAAACAAAAATAAAGCTAAATAGAAATAATTAAAATAACAATTTTGAAAAGCACATAAAATCAGTAAAAGTTAAACTAAAATGAAAATGAAAACTAAAAATAAAAGCTCATTTAAAATGAATACTATAATAACATATGATTGTTGCTAAATTAACAAAGCTTATGTTTAAATACATTTTGGATAACAAGCAATACATCTAGCCTTTTCTGATTTATGGAGGAAGATTATAAATCAGCTAACATATCACATTTTAGACTTCTCAGACCTTTTGGCCTGCAGGCTAACTATTCCAGTAGATGCCCAAATTATCCTGGCAAACCAAGTAACTCACATTTGAAGACAAACCCTAAAGAAAATTGAATAATTTGAAAGAAATAGCTACATTTCTCAACATTTCACAAACCTGAGAGTCTCTGCCATGCGTCTCAGATCTTCATTCTGCTGTTTCAGCCTTTCCAGCTTGGCCAGGATCTTGGAGAGCTCTCTGCTGGACCGTTCCGGATGCTCGCTTTCCCTCACGAGGTGACCCCCGATGTAGAAAAGCAGCGTGCCCCAGGCCAGCAGCACCAGCATAATCCAGCGCCACGAGCCCGTCCACGGACGCATGGCGCCTAGTGCTGCCCAGCACACACTCTCCTTTCACAACACGGGAATTTGAGACATACTCAGCTCAGCGGCAGCGCACCACATCAGGGCTCCTCTAGAGCGGAAGAGGGGCGTCAGGGGTCGCTGGGTCTCGCTTGCGTGTGCACTTAGAGACTTGGAGGTTATATCATGGCAGCGGCCTCTCGCAGAGAAGGGGCGGAGGGTTTTGAGATCCCTTGAGACTTCGCTTATGAGACTACACTTCAGGGAACCAATGGCTCTGATGAGTTCTTATTCCTCTAGGGACTCTGCAAGGGATTCTGGTCCTGTAAAAACACAGAAGCATGTGTGATCAGTGAGATGATAGGACATGCTTGCGCTAACTGTGAGAGATAAAGGCATAAGTGAGGTCTGAGATTATCTATCCGCTCTGCCTTTTCCTCCACAGAATATAAAACTGGATTGAGTTTAGCTGCTGACAACGCTCCAGTCATACAGCTGTTACTGAGGATTATAGTGAGCGGTGAAAGTTAGTTGCCAAGTCAGCACAAAGTAAAAGTGCAAATAATGAGTTCCTTTAAATTAATCAGTAACAAAAATGTGCAGGGAAGGACAAGAAAGGAAATAACAAGAATGATATGAAAGAAAAGAGAGACCCCAGATCTAAAGAAAAATAATACTATTCTTTGTAACACTTTTAATGTTTTCTATTTATTATGCCATCTTAAGTGAAGTTACAAATCATACATGTAATTTGCGAGCAGCGATGCTTAATTTGCTCCGGAGCAAGCTGAAAAGCTGCTGAATAATACTGAATACAGCTTATATAGGAATGCCGTGATAGGTGTCGTATTCCTATAGGTAGATGTGATCAGCTGAGAATCAGCTGATGCAAGCTTGACTCACGTGACCTGCCAGAACTAACGCTAAAGCTTAATAAGGGCAATAACAATGACACAGGGAACAACTGTACATCAATGTATCACTTTACAGGAAGTAGAGAAGACAATTTCCCCTTGAGTCATTGCACATCACCATTGCAAACCAAAACATTTTTGACTTGTTACAATGGCATGTGTTAAAGTGTAATTTTATGTACATAAATATAATAAAATATACAATAAACATACATGTATATACTGTATGTAGCACTATGCAATAGGCTTGTTGGCTTTTTTCATTATTTATCACACTAAAAAAAATCTAAATCAAAATGTTGAGGTATGACAACTTACATTTATGAATAAAATAATATAGTATGTATATAAATACACAAGTATGTATATGTTTACATTTATATTGTCATTTATATTATGTATGTTATGGATTACATCAAGTCATACAAAAACCATGACTCAAAGTGTTGTCTGTGTTCGATGACGTCTCCGATTTTATCGAGCTTTCCTGTAGCTCAAAGAGTAGAGAGAGAGAGAAAAAAGTAAATGTGTACCTTGAATGCAAAGTAAGATGCTTTGGATTAAAGCTTTCAAATGCATACATGTGAACTTCCAAAGAAATCTCCTGCAATGAATGACATGTAAACTGGAAGTAATATCTATCACAATTTTTCCTGACTCCTTTTCTTGACTGCCAAGATAAAATATATATTTTTTGTGTGCATGCAAAATGAATGTAAAAAAATGAATGTAAAAGTATGTAATGAGGTCATGTGACAATGTTGCATGTTACTGTTTGAAATGTTTGCATAATGCATTCAGATTCACATCATTTACAAAAATAGCAAGCAATATGTAAGTATACACAGCATTGTATGAGGAAACAATGGTCTCGTATTCTATGTACATGGACCACACTTGCCATGCATTAGGGTATGTTCATTTTCGTGTGCATCCAGCGAAAACTTTATCTCATCGCATTCAGTTCAGTGCAAACTGGTCAAATATAATTTATTTTTCCACACACACACACACACACACACACACACACGCACACACACATACAATCGCTGTGACTCTAGTTCAACTTGTCAATGCTTGTACTTTCATTTATTGACTTAAATGAGAAATAACAGGCAAATTGCACTTGTATCACAATCTCAAGTTAATACACACTGCACACCCACGAGCGGCCACGGTTGTATCTTAAAAGTGAACCATTTACAGAGCTGAAATAATGTGCCACTCACTGTGCATGTAAAACGAGGCTGACGGATGGGGACTATCTGACAGATTGGGGAAAGTAGGCACCGCTTATCCTTCATTATGAATGAGGGTGGAATATAGAAAGTCATTATGGATTTCTGCACAGAGCATATACAATGCATTATAGATTGCGGTGGTGTGTCAAAGCCCGGTAATCAAAGGCTGCAGTGCGGGACTGAATCAATAGAGTGACCTTCTGCTAGTGTCTCAGTACAGCAGACCGCCAGCTATTTATGCACATCACTACTGCAGTCAACGGGGTGCGCACACGGGGCACTACTACACAGAAACATAGGATTTACTCACACTCCTGCTGGCTTACACTGAAATCAGCTGATAAACTCATTAAAGATCTTCCTTGCACTATTATAATCTTCAAAAACTGCTCATTAACCTATTACACATCAATTGTGTTTAAAGTAATTCCCAAAAAAAATCACAAAAACAAATTGCAAAACAACAACAACACTTTTTATCCCATGTATTCAAGAATAAAGATTAAAAATATATAATTATAAACTTTATGCTCACCAAGGCTACATTTATTTGTTCAAAAATACAGTAAAACTGTAATATTGTGAAATATTATTACAATTTAAAATACCAGTTTTCTATTTTTTTATATATTTTAAAATGTAATTCATTCCTGTGATGGCAAGCTAAATTATCAGCAGCCATTACTTCAGTCTTCAGTGTCACACGATCCTTCAGAAATTATTCTAATATGTTAATTTGGTGCTCAAGTAACATTTCTTCTTATTATCGATGCTGAAAACAGCTTAATATTTTGTGGAATTTGTAATACATTCTTTTTCAGGATTCCTTGACAAATAGAAAGTCCAAAAGAAATCTTTTGTAACAATGTAAAAGTATACTATACTGTCGCTTTTAATCAATTCAATGCATGCTTGCTAAATAAAAGTACTAATTTCTTTAAAAAAATGAAAAAATAATTTTCTTATTAAGCAATATATGATTTTGATTATGAGAAATTATTATATTAAATAATATAATAATATATAATTGTATATAAATTCATGATGTGTATTTTATACAAGTAAATAGATATTGTAATTATTAATTTACACAAGTATATCATACACAGTTCTCTTTTTTATATGTTTTACAGTGGTAATAGCTAGTAGCTCCACAGTAAAATCTAATAGGTTAAAAAAATCCCACTCCTCATTTTCTAAATGGTTGTAACTGTGTCATGGTTAGGACCTGGTTAGGACACTGTGTAACGGTCAGAAATAAGGTAGAAAAGGTTAAAAAAGCTAACTGATTATTTTCAGTGTTATAAATCTTGACTACAGATTCAAGCAAAAACTAAACTGCTACCAAAGTGTAGAATTGTCAGACTCTGTTCCGTGTTTCGTGTGTGTTTTGCTCCCCCACATGCTCCATGTTATGTCCATGCCCATATTTGGTCCTTCCTGTTTCCTGTTCCTATTATGTTTATTGATCCCAGGTGTTTCTCGTCTTCCCCTGGTCATGTCTTGTGTATTTAAGGTGTTTCCTGTTTTGCGTTCTCTGTCTAATTCAACCAGAGGTGACATTTTAATAGAAATATATACAGTGTTAAATTTGGAAAGACTGCGAGTAGATAGTCAATTTTGTTGGATACCAGCACACATAGGTATAGTAGGTAATGGAGAAGCTGATAAATTAGCAAAAAAAGCTCTAAATCACAGTGACAAAATAGATATTCCACTTGGAAAAAATGAAGGAACATTTTTTATTAAAAGAACTTTGACAAACAGTGGCAAAAAAGTTGGGATTCAAGTAATACAGGAAGGGAATACTACAGAATTCAAAAATCAATCTAAGTTAGAACAGTTAATAGTAGACATAGAAAGGAGGAAATCATATATGCAAGACTACGGTTAGGACATAAAAGACTTAGGCCCAATCCCAATTCTATTTTATACCCCTTCACCTTGTCCCTTGAAACAGAGTGTCAAGGGGTAGGGGTGAAAAAATTCCCCTAAGAATTGGGACACCACTACTATGCTGTCACACGTCATCATACGTCGTCTAACTCCTACAATACACACACCTATGCTGGTGAGCATTAGAGCCGTTAATTTTCGTTCTATATTAATGCGCTGCTTACTGACACACACACACACACACACACACACACCAGAGATCACGCAGCTCACACATCCAGGAGCAAAGATACTTGTCAATGCTGCCCCACGACTTTTATTAATAACAGTTTAAATACTGAATCGCTACATTATATTTTCCAGCAACAAGAACATATAATAGCTGTTTTTGAAGTAAACTCACTCTAAAAAGAGAAACGCACAGACGCGCATACATGCAACTTTCATCTCTCTGTCTCTCTCGCTCTCCAATTGGCAATATTTGAGAAAAGGGTTTAGCGATTTATAATTATTGGGGGGACTAGCCCCCCTCAGTGTCTATGGTGGTTATCGCCCTGATCAGACATGAAAATATGTCTGTAATGATATGACGTTAGCAAAATTTAGCAATTTTTTGCAAACATTTCTTTGAGTAACATGACCGTAAATATGAACTCACGACTGATCGGGCAGCCATGTTGCCGCTGAAGCCGGTTTACGCTGAGATAATTCATACCCCTTCATTTGAAATGTGGTCCCGAAAAATCTTCGTTTGAAGTGCTATCTGGCCCGTCTCCTACCCCTACCCCTCCAACCAAAAGAGAATCGAGACACCCCTACCCCTTCAAAGGGGAAAGGGGAAGGGCTAAGGGGTAGAATTGGGATTGGACCTTAACAATACATTATTTCTTATGAATAAACACAGACAAATGTGAGGTTTGTAACTGCAAAGAAAATGTAGAGCACATATTAATTAATTGCAGGAAATTCAGAGAAGAAAGAGAAAAACTTAAACAATGCATTATAAACGTTGGAAGGGAATGGGACATTAGAGGTGTTTTAGGAATAGAAAATGAACAGAATGAAGTTACCAGGGCAATAATGAGTTTTTTGCAAGAAAGTGGTTTAGTTAGAAGAATTTAAGATCATAATGAAGTCATGATGTTACACACTCCAATATAGTAGGTGGCGGTATGCACCTTAATGTTGGCCTGTAACCACCAGAAAACTAAAAGAAGAAGAAGAGTTCTCTGTCCGGCTTTGAACGTTGATCCCCGTGTCCTACGTGTAATT